GATTACACAATAGGTAAACAAGAGCTTGAATTAAGATATTACAGCAGAAACATATGAACAGATAAGAGATAAATAATGAAATATGTAAAATAAATGTGAACATTTTAGTAACCATGTACTAAGACATGGCTTGCTGAAATAATGGTCAGCCTCTATGTAACTTTTCCCATATTTACTCAAATCTACTGAAATAAATAATACAAGAATTGAGTTATATAAAAGAAATCTTCAAAGGGTAAATGAATGTCCCAAATGAATATCATAATTTAGTAGTATTAATTAACAGTCTACTGGGTTACAGTAGTGATTTTCATAATGTTGTTCCTTGGACTAGCAGCATTAGTGATACATGGGAATTTATTTGAAAGGCAATTTCTTGAATTCCACAATAGATCTTCTGATTCAGTATCTCCAGGCATAGGTCCCAGAAATCTGTATTTTTAAGAAGCCTTCCAGTTGATTCTCATGCAAGCTTCAGTTTGAAAACCACAAGGTTAGGAGCTATGAAAAGAGGAGTAAACCAACAAAGGAGGAGTAAAATACAATCCAACAAAAACTACCAGAAGAATGATCTTTCTTTGTAAAGAAAGATCAGGCCAACAATAATTAATAATCTACCCTCCATGCGATTGAAGAGCAGTATAATTCAATTTAACAGGAAAAGAAACAGGAAATGCACAGGAATAATATTATCTGAAGGCTCTGTTAAATAGCATGCTGATAAAGACCACTAAGAAACAGCCACCTTTAACTGCTCATAAAATTAAAGAAATAATGCATAATGAATTATAACCACCATATTATTTTCCTCATTTATTCAACATACATTTACTGAATATTACTACAACAAGATGTTATGCTAAAAGCTAAAATTGTGATAAATAGGTCTTAAAGCATGAGAAATTCTGAAAAGTCAAAGCTTTAAGCAATTTTCTTTGTTGCACTGGAACTCATTACCAAGGAAGATTCAAAAGGAAAAGATAGTCTGCTATTATTCCATTTGTTATTTAATACTTATAAGAAAAAAATAAAATGCTGGGTGCCTTTTATCAATTATAAACCCAATTACTTTAATTTCAGTGTCTAAGGAAATAGTTCTGATTCTCTAAAACTAATATTTAAAATATGCATACATATATACATAACACATACATGTGCATATGTATATGCAACATACCTCAGTTTTAAGATTTAAAAACTCAGAACTAAAGACAGGTGAAAATTAATTCTTGGAGAATCTTACCAAATTCCTTTTGATCACTGACAGCAATCTTATTATATGGTTACTCCCTCTCCCTAGTATGTTCATTTTCTTTGTAAATCCTATGCATCCATATTATCATCATTCGGGAAGCAACATCATGTGGTAAAGTACAGGCTTTGAAGTCAGATCTCAGTTCAAGTCCTTGCTCAGTTACTTAACTAATTTGTGTGTCATTAAACAAATTAGTTGACTTCTATAAGCATTAGTTTTTCATCTTTAAAATAATTTTAATGACACAGCATAAGTGAGAAAGCAGTATAAGAATGAAATGGAATATTATAAGCAAAACATTTAGTTGATTAACAAATTCACAATAGATGTTTTATAAATGATACTCCCTTACTCCTTTCTCTTGAAGCATAGCATCCATTTCCTTCAGTCCATTAATTATCCTCAAAGCCTTAATTTTACATTGACAACTAGTATCGGAACACTACTTACAAGATTTGTGTTCTTGACAACTAGAAATGGGACACTATTTATAAGGTTTGTGCTCTAAAGGTCCTCCTGTGGACACATTTTGATATCTCAAAAATTCTTCCAAATATTTAAATAATGAAACACAGTACAGTGGACAAGACTAGCATGGGAAGTTAGGAGATCTAGGTCCTAGCTTCACTAATGCCAGGAAGTAGCTTTGGATTGGGATAATGTCTTATGAAAAATTAGAGTGTGAAACTAGATAATCTCTAAAGCCTCTTTCAGGTCTTTAAAATTCTATGATTCTAACTTTTCTGGAAGGATTACTTTGAATCATAAACAACTGGACACTTGGAACTTGGAATGTATCTAATTTAAGAAGGCATTCTCAAGACAGAAAAGACAAAGAAAGAAAAATTAGGAGACAGCAAAAAGATCAATCTACCTGAAAATATCTTTTTCCCCCACATTCAATCTGGTGTAATTAGCTCTAGAATAGACATATCACCTTTTTGTATACAAATTTATATGATAGAATTTTTATCTCTTGTAGTATACATGATCTCAATGTTAATCCTTCTGCAGTACTTCCTGAAAGGGGTGTTTTTAATACTTACAGTAGTGACTACAGTCATAAGCCACTGGTCTCTTCCTCTTTTGTCATCTTGTCACTTACCCAGTCAATCTAATGCCAGCCTATGGCTAGAGGGTCTGACTTACAAGGGTCAGCAACATCTAAGAATTATTTTTTCTCTCCATGCTGTACTTAGTGAGGTGTAACAGTCACCTTTCAGGTATTTGCTTGGCTCACAATTTGCCTTTCTGGTAAGAAAGGAAAAAAACCTTTTATCTTAGGAATATGAACACCTTTAAATTATCAGGACCAGAAAGGCATTTAAAAAGTAACAGCAGTCACAACCCACTCTCCCCTCAAATACATAATTACCTCTTGAAGCTACTTGCTATGTGGGCTGTAGACTGAAGCCTAAATTGCTATATACCCTACAGTTCAACAAAGTATAGCCAATCACTAACCAATGTTATTTCTGTAAATCAATGAGAATTCCTGAAGAACAACTTTTGTACTTACTCACTCTCCTGATTGATCCTCTTTATTCTTTAAAAACTTGAACCTTTCAGTCGGATGCAGTGGCTCACACCTATAATCCCAGCACTTTGGGAGGCTGAGGTGGGCAGACCACGAGGTCAGGAGATTGAGACTATCCTGACTAAAACAGTGAAACCCTGTCTCTACTAAAAAAAAAAAAAAAAAAATTAGCTAGGCTTGGTGGCATGCATCTGTAGTCCCAGCTACTGGTAGGTTGAGGCAGGAGAATCACTTGAACCCGGGAGACGGAAGTTGCAGTGAGCCAAACAGCATCACTGTATTCCAGCCTTCAGGACAGAGCGAGACTCCATCTCAGGGGGAAAAAAAAAAAAAAAAAAAAAAAACAACTTGAACCTTTCTTACGTTCTCCAGAGCACTCCCCAAGGCAGCTTGGAAGTGTATCTTAGGCTGAAGTCCTCAAGCTTTGCACCTGAATAAACTTCCTTTAAACTACATTCTGACTCCTCTGGTTATTTTAGGTTCAAACTGGGAAAGGTTTCATTATTAACATTTCTATTCACTTCCATTTTCACATGGGTTTATTTATCAGGAATCAACAGTATAACTATAGGCCTCTGAAGAAGCTCAAGTCATCTAGTGAAGACATCAAAGTATGAGGAAGGTTTATTTTTAGTTCGATATAAAAGCATTTATTTTCACTGAGACTAGCTGGCCCTTGGTTTGCTTTTCTTTGCATCACCCTTATATTTTTCCATGGCTAGTTTGTAATACAAAATCAGTAAATGATGTCAAGAAAATAAGTAGTGCCAGGCACGGTGGCTCATGTCTTTAATCCCAGCACTTTGGGAGGCTGAGGCGGGCAGATCACAAGGTCAGGAGTTTGAGACCAGCCTGACCAACATGGTGAAACCCCATCCCCACTAAAAATACAAAAACTAGCTGGGCTGGTGGTACACTCCTATAATCCCAGCTACTCAGGAGACTGAGACAGGAGAATCACTTGAACCCAGGAGGGTGAGGTTACAGTGAGCTGAGACTGCATCACTGACTCCAGCCTGGGTGACATTCAAGTGAGACTCCGTCTCAAAAATAATAATAGTTAAAAAAAAAAATAATAAGAAGGCCAGGTGTGGTGGCTCACGCCTGTAATCCAAGCACTTTGGAGGGCAAGGCAGGCGGATGACCTGAGGTTGGGAGTTCAAGACCAGCCTGACCAACATGGTGAAACCCCATCTTAAAAAAAAGAAAAAAGAAAATAAGTGGTAGTATTTAACGTTTCATATATAATTCCCACTACCTATTCACTCAGAAAATGAAGATCCCAACCATGGGGGGCCGGGGGGTGAATCAACTTGTCTCATAAACATTATTTGTATTTTCTATAGCCCTTCTATTAATATAGCCTTATAAACAGATTTCTAAAACACTGATCCAGAACTATTTCTTGAGCCTACTTTTTCTAAAAGTATACAAAACATTCCCTTCAAATTCGACATCCTCTTACACTAATCAAAAGAGTATACTTTATTATAGAAGTCCCTCACTGTATAAGAATATAAATCTACAAAGAATTCAATTGGAATTTGCTTGTATACTATTATCTATGTTCAGAGTAAGTTATATCCTTTAATGCATTTTATAATGCTTAATTGTCAAAGTAAATGTTTCTATTATTCATCACATACTATCTTCTATTTCTATAATGTGATCTTTCTAATTAAAAGAACCACAATTGCAATTACTGAAGAATAAGTAAAAATCCAAGGAACTTAATGGCAAATTGTACAGCTCTGAAATTTAATCTCTATCTCATTTGTGAGAGTCTCTGATGAAATTTGGAAATTTTACATTGACTAAATTAAGAATTTTTATTAGAAATAGTTCTCTATAAATACAATAAAAAACTAATTTTACTTTAGTACAGACTAATTTATATACATCTGAAGATATTTTAACCTTTATGCCCAATTTCCTCTCTTTCAGTCAACAGGCATAAATTGGATTTACTTTTTAATTGTCTGAGACACATAATTAATGAAACTGACACTATCTGACATAATTACGAAAACCTTAAAGCCAATAATTTCTGAAAGAGTAAAACGTCAAGAGGAACAAAAGCAAAATAATTACTTCTATTTAAGAAAAAGAGGACTCATTAAATCAGTGAACATTGTAAATCAGAAAGGACTTTCTATACTAAACAGAGGAAAAACTAAATAAAAATGAAAGACAAAATCTTAAACTTACTGGGTTATCTGTGGAATCATCAGCCAACTGTAAACCAAAATAGTCTTGCTCAGTCAAGTCAAGATGCTTGAAAACTATATCCAACAGGACTTGCCCCTGATCATGTTTCTGGGAAAAAAAATTGAATGAAATCAACTTTGATAGGTTACATACTCTACATTTTTTTAAAACCTGGTTGACTCTTGTCCTCCTCTATTAACCCATTTATGCTAGTGGTAGCAAATTTTTGTATGTGAAAAATCAGACCTTGGCAATGACCTTGAGCAGTAGAATATAAATACCTCCCACAAGCTTGGTGTGCCAATAATAGAATAAATGGGTTAGGCATAAATGGGTTAACTTGGTAACTGTTTCCATACCAATGACTTGGTTGAGAATAAAGACTTCACATGTGACGCAGTACTTTTAAAAAACATCCTGACCTTAGGCAAACTGGTTTAAAGAGCATATAATAAATATGAAAATATAAAGAAGCATTTGATTGAAAATATTTCCACTTTCAGGCTACCATGGTATTTTTGTTAGTTCATATTATTGCCACATTAACTCATGTATATAGCTATATCATTTTGTTACGTCTTTTATTCTTATATTTAAATTATTACTAGGAAGTGACATATTTGGCTAAATATTACTTAAAATGTAATTTTGTATTACATAAATAATGCCATAAAAGGGGAAACAAAGATGGTAACGATTATTTATAGTAAATTGATAAAGGATTACTGGCATTTTCATTGCAAAGGTACTCAGAGAACTTTAGAAAACTATCTCATTTTAACCTCACACTGATTCTATCACGTAGGCATTAAAGAGTAACTACAACTTCTCCAAGTTCCAAAGCTGTTAAACTGTGGTCCAAAAGGCATGATTAGATATTCCCATCCCACCAAAAAATACAACGAATGAGTAAAAACACAGAAAAATGATCAACATGTTCAGTTAAAATTAAAGAAAATGGGAAATTATAATGACATGCCAAAGGCAAACAACAATCCCCAAAATAAAATCCAGTGATAAAAAATAAAGACAAGAAATACTTACTGCTGCTAACATTGAAGACAGATATCTATCAGAAAAGCAATTTGACAAAACAAGCAATAACAATATTAACTACTCTGGCATCTTAACATAAGTAGCAAACAAAATCTAATACTGGAGGAAACTGCTATACATATCAATATATTCACTAGAGAGGTTTATTTTCACTACATTTATATATGACATATATTAGAAAAACATGTGCCATGGTTTGAGTTTGCCCCCTAGAATTCATGTGTTGAAAATTTGGTCCCTGGTGTGGTGGTTCTGAGAGATGGCGACCTTTAAGAGGTGACTAGGTCATTTAGAGTGATTAATGTTGCTTTCCAGGGACAAGGTTAATTCTCAAGGGAGCAAGTGAGTTCTCACTATCACAGGACTAGATTAATTACCACAAGTGGGTTGGCATAAAATGAGGCCGCCCCTGGTATCCTGTCCCTTTCACATGTACTCACTTCTCCTTCTGCTTCTCTGCCATGTTATGATCCAGCATGAAAACCTCAGAAACTGACCAGATGTAGCCATCTGATCTTGGACTTCCCAGCCAAAATAAACCTCTTTTTAAAATAAATTACCCAGTCTCAGGTATTCTGTTATAGCAACAGAAAATGGACTAAGGTAACATAGTAGAGAATAGTGATATATTTTACCACTAATTTTTCTTCTCATTAGCTATAGCAGTTTAGAAACTTCCAGATACCAGTCAGAATTCAAACATACAGCTGAAACAGTAAGAATGTATTTTTTTCATATAATGGAAAGTACAGTGGCACAAAAGACTCCAGAGCAAGCTAATCTGCAGATGAGGGACATAAAGACTAGGTTTCTTTCCATCTTTTTCATCTGCATTCCAAGTGTTGGCTGTATTCATAAGCCTTTAGCAAGATGGTCACAGCAATGCCAAGATTCATATCCACATGTGACAATGTGCAAAAGAACAAGCTTCCTTGTAAAAGTTACCTTACGAAGACTCTTATTGGTCAGAATTAGAGTCAATTAGAATAGGTCAAATGGCTATCTGAAAAAACTCATCAATGTGCTTCAAACAGTGCTTCTCAGTGTTGGCCCGCATTCAAAGCACCTGCAAATATTTTATATACTTAAGCAGCCTACCTCCCTAACCCGTCTCTCATTCTGATTGTATTTGTCTGGGGAAGAGATCAAGCATTAATCTTTTTCTAAAAGTTACTAAGGTGAGTCCGATGCACCTTTGGTTGAAGAAACTATTATTTCCTCCACTGAATATATGGGTTTATTTCTGGACTCTATACCTTGGGTTTTCTTTTCATTTCCTATATATCACAGACTGGGTACTGTAGAATTCTATAATCCAGAAATGCCAATAGGTGCTGATGAAAGAGCCCAAGAAAAGGCTGCTTTCTCTAGGAAAAGGACCAGAAAAGGGTACGTGGTAGGACAGAAACCTGACAATGCCAAATCCAATGGGAAAAAAACTGAGCCCTTCTCTACTAGTGTCCATGGAAACCAAATGAGAAGCCTAGTTTCATGTGCCACCTGGTTTAACCAGGCAGCAAGCAAAATAAAAAAGCCTGAACTTCTACCCACTTCCAAACAGTATTGAGCAGTACTTCATAGTATCTTCTCTAGAGTGGTGTTAAGCAGAAGCAGAAAACATATCCACTTATGGGTAGCAGGAGGTGTTCAGCTTCCCCTGTTGAGCTGTGCTAGCAGAAGCTGAGGAGGAAGCCTGCATTTCCACTGCAACCACTGCACAGCTATAGCAAGTGGTGTCTCCCAAACAGAAAGGGAGGAGGAAGACTTGGGAGAAAAGGTAGATGGAAAAACGGATACTTAAATCTTGAAATGTAATCCTGAACAGGACACTTAACAATGAACTAACTACATGTGAAACTGACCAAAATTTTAAAAGTAGGCCAAGACCAGTATGCTACCAAGATGACTCCCTACTACAGACAATTAAATATAAACCAAAGTCTCATTAACAAAATGCCTCGAATGTCTGAGATACTATCTAAAATCACTGAGCTAGGAAAATCTTGACTAGAGTAAGAAAACACAATCAACAGATGTCAACACCGAAATGACTCAGATGTGGGAATTATCTGACAAAGATTTGGAAGCAGTCATCAGAAAAATGTTTTAATGGAAGCAGCCATTATGAATGCCGTTGAAAAGAAAATTAGAAAAAAATAAAAGATTATTTCAGCAAAGAAACAGAAGATATAAAAGAACCAAATACAAATTACATAACTGAAAAACACAGTAACAAAAACCGATTAGATGGGCTCAACAGAATAAAGTTAAGAAAGAAAAAATAATCAATGAATCTAAAGAAAAAGCAATAGACATTAGTAAGAACAGCACAGAAAAAACAGATCAAAAAAATAAAAAGATGACAACAACCAGACTGTCAGCAACCTGTGGGAGAAGAAAAAAATGAGGTAACATTCATTTCACTAGAGAATTTAAGAGATGAGAAACAGTTTTTAGGACAATAAAATAATAAAATATTTGAGAATTTCGTTTGTAAAATTTTTACAAATTTGGTAAAAACAAAATGCAGATTCAATAATTCAAGTGAACCCCAAACAAAATGAATCCAAATAAATCTACCTTATAACATATCATAATCAAAATACTAAAAACTAAACACAAAATAAAAATCTTGAAAGCAACTTTTAAAAAAGAGAGAAATAGGCAAAGACAATTCAAATTGGAATGAACTTCTCATCTGTAACCAGGAAGGCCAAAAGAAAATGAGTTAGGCTGTGCTTGCATCCCTATAAATAAATACCTGAGACTGGGTAATTTATAAAGAAAAGGGGTTTAATTGGCTCATGATTCTGCAGGCTGTATAAGCACAGCACAAACATCTGCTCAGCTTCTGGTGAGGGCCTCAGGAAGCTTACAATCATGGCAGAAGGCAAAGAGAGCAGACACATCACATGGCAAGAGCAGAAGCAAAAGAGCTAAGGTAGGAGGTCCCAGAACCAACCAGATCTCAGGTTAACTAACTGAGCAGGAACTCACTTATCACCAAGAGCATGGTAATAAGCCATTTAGGAGAGATCTCCTCCTATGATCTAATTCCTCCCACTGGGCTTTACCTCCAACACTGGGAATCACATTCTAACATGAGATTTGGAGGGGAAAAACATCCAAACCATCTCAGGAAGTGTACAAAAACATTTCAAATGCTAAACAAACCCCAGCCTGTCAATCCAGAATTCTATGTCAAGAGAAAACACTCTATAGGAGGAATGAAGAGTAAATAATGATATTCTTAGAAAAATTTAAGAAAATTATCACCAACAGATCATCCCTGAAATAATGCTCTAGGAAATATTACAGGAGTTATTCATAAATTATTTTAGGCAGTTATGGCAAGGAGTCCTCAGTAAGGATTTTTTTTACTAAAGGCAGCTCCTGAAACATTTCTAATAGAAAAGTGGCTTGAAAAGCCAGGCTGGCAAGCTTTGATATGCAAATGCAAGAGATTAGAAACTGGGTCCATCCAGTGTGGTGACTCCCACCCTCTTCTCTTTGTCACCACATATGCCAAGTGTCATGGCCACCTCCAGATGATTCTGCATGTGCACGACATCATGGCAACATGCATTTGCCTATTAAAAGGCTAGGGTAGGAGGGTCAGTATTTTCGCAGGCTATCTGAATAACACACCTGATCAAACCAATCCCCTGAGTCCTATGCAAACCAGACAATGCCTCCTCTAGCCTCCTAATATAACACTTCAGACTTTTCTTTCCATTTGGAGCCCCCTCTCTGTCTCTGTAGGAGGGAGCTTTTTCCTTCTTTCTTGCCTATTAAACTTTCCGCTCCTTGAAACCATTTCACATGTCTGTGTTGTGTATCTAATCGGTGTGAGACAAAGTATCCTGGTGTTCCTCCAGTCATCAGAGCCTTATCATTTTAGTGCAGTGGCAGGGAATCGAGGTACAACATTCATTGGAGTGGTGAGTATGGGAGCAGACTCCTTCAATTTTATTTCTGAGGCTTTTCATCCTCAGTTTTTTATTCTCTAAAAGAACTCTCAAAAATCAGGCATTTGGCAGCTGAGTATGGGT